TTATGGTAGATAAAGGAGGATGACTAGAACTAACAATAGTATTAGAAGAAGTTTTCCATTTATGTTTTGTGATTGTGTTTACTTTTTTGTAATAATTTGCTAAGTATTCAAAGAAAGGAACTTCAGTATTATATTCAATCATAAAATCATACCATTTGCGGGTAATTCGAGATTGTTGATGAGAATCATATTTGGAGCGATAAGCATGTCGTTTAGTTCTATTTTCTTTTGATTTAAATTCAATATGTAATTTATCAAGATCAGGAGCAAAATGTGTACTAATTGTCATTAATTGAGAATTTATTGGAGGTATTACTTCGAAATTAGTTTGAGTTTGAGAGTCTTGAGACTCAGTATCTTCTTCATGTAGATGTATGTGAGTAGAATAAACATGTTTACTAATTTGAGAAGTTGTTGAATTATCCACTCCTTTCATTTTACTATGGGAATTTTGACCAAGATGAATTTGACTATTTTTTCGGAATAAATGTGTGTTAAATATCTCATCTTCAGTTTCAACATCAATAGGTATACTAGAAGTACTATGACAAGAAGATTGAGATCGATTAAATTTAATCCTAACAGATCCATCAATAAATTGTTGAATATCTTGAATATCTTGACAAGTAGATTGTCATTGATTATGTTTGTAATTTTCATTAACTGTAATCCATTGGTCGGGGAAAGTAATATTTTTCCATTCAATCATTTGAGGAATATTTATATTAGTATTATTATTACTACTTTGGATTAGTAAGGTTTTGTCTTTAGGACTTTTATGTAAGGCTTGAACATTCAAATTGGTTTTAATACATTTGTAATGAACACGATAAATTAGAGCAATATTATGAGCCTTTTCTTTCATATTTGTAAATGAGCCATGTAATTGAATATTTAGAGTTAAAGCATCTAGTATATGAGGGTCTCTAAGACTAAGAGTGAATCAGGAAAACAATTAAAATGGACGGGTCCTTTGTGAAAACCAGTTTTCACCATACCCATTAAGCTATCATTATAACTAAGAAAACGAGCATCTCTTACGCATAATAAAACAAAAGTATTTTTACCTTGTTGTGTTAATGGTTTGATTCCAACCTGAATTAATCCTAAATGAATAAAATTGTGACCAGTTTTTAAATGTCGTTTAATAGTATTAGCATCAAATAATTGACATGTTTCTCTAGGTTTTTCTAAAGCGTAGACTTGTTCTAAAGTTTTAACATGAAGATTAACATTAAATGTATTTTGTATAAAAGTAGTTTTATAAATTTCTTTAATTGGTAAACGTGGCATATTCCAACTTCAATCAATTTTATCATTTTGTATTTCTACATCTTCTTCATTGATTACTAAACCTTGATTAGGTATAGAAGACAAAGTTGTTGACCTAGAACTAACCAAAGAATTACTTCTAAATAATCGACTCATTTTATCTTGAAATAGTTTACAGTGATCTCAATACATTGGCTAATTTTATCATATTTTCACATACTATGTTTTCACACATACCCAGTTTGGGAAAACCCCTAAGATCTAACACTGCCTAACCAAAGGACTTACCTAGAACTTGGGACGAAGGATGGGTGGCTAACAGCAAAGTGGAAAGACACGAATAAAATTTTGACAGATTAAGACAAAAGACTGTAAACAATTTCAACACAAGAGAATGAGTAGATACTAAAATAATGGTTCAGTTAGAAACAGAATGCAACTTAACTTGGCTCTGATACCATAAGGAAACGGAAGCAGGAAGGAGGAGAGGAAACAGCAGGAAATAAGGAAATAACACTAAAATAGATAAAGATAAACAAAAATAAACAATAGAACAAAAACAGTTTAAATAAACATTAATAAAATAAAACTTACAATTGATTACTGGAATGAAGCAAGCAGTTCTTCAAAATACATAATTGGAGAACAATTTTCGAAAATATAAAATTACAGAGAAAGATATTTTCTTGAGGAAATGAGTGCTCTCAATTTTCTAACTCTGCCTTATTCCTGACTGAAGAGGCCCTTTTATAATCAAAAGAGACTACTGTTAGCCTTGTGAGTGAATATTGTTAGCCTTGTGAGTGAATGATTCTGACTTGAAAGGAGCATCAGGAGCACATGGGAGCTGTCTGCTACTTTCGGTGAGTGACTAAAGTTGAAGGCTGCTTTTTACTATGCTGAATTTGTCGGTTGGATGAATCATGATGAATTATGAATAGTAATGTTGACTTTTTGATGAATAGTGACTAGTAAAGTTGACTGTTTTCACTATTCATTGCTTGAAGGCATGTGACTGAGGGAATCAATATAGATATATATATCAGCAGCTTTTCTCAAAAACGAGTATTGATTGAAACTGATAATTATAGCTATATAGAATCCAATGTTGAACAAGTGACTAAGCATATGGATCCTGAGCATCTTGAAATTCAAGTCCATACGGATTTTGAGTAATAGAACCTTCAGAAGAGTTTGAACTGTCAGAACCTTCTTCTGAACTGTTGTTATCTTAGTCTGACTTGGCTTGGGCCATGAGGAGACGAGCCATTTGGAGGAGCTCATCTTTAGATGACTTAGGCTTGGGCTTATTCTTGGATTTAGACTTATCCTTTGACTTGGGCTGATCAGTATTGGGCTTTGCTGACTTGGATTTTATCTTTGATTTGGATGACTTGGGCTTGGAAGAACTGGATGTTGGGCATCCAAGATTGACTGGAGGAAGTTGGCTTCCTTGAGTTAATGAAGCAGTTGGGTTCTGCTGAGCTTTAATCATGGCAGGTATAGGGGCATGAATGTTTATTGGAAACTCAGTTTGAACAATTTCAACAATGCGTGGAATCTTGAAATTATCCCACCATTTAACCATGTGTTGCCAATAAATAACATCATCAGAAATACCATATTGCCATTTGAATATCCAAGGGATTTTGTATTTGGATATAAAAATAAGCAATGGAGGGAATTTCCTTTGCTGAGGAGTGAATGAGAAAACAGTGGAGAAGTAATTGACTTGTTCCATAATTACAGATGGAAAGATTTCTGAAATAGCGCCATACTGAGTCCACCATCTCAGAAACCAGGTAGGTAACTCGAATTTGAACTTTTGATCAAATTGAAGAAACCAAGAGTGACTGTTTGACTCATTTTGATATAAGAGGACTTTGAACCAAGCATCAATGTAATCATAGTAACTGTATTGAATTGAATAACCAGGCAAATCTCGTAGTTGGTAAGGAGAATCCCAATCAACCAAAGAAACAAAGTTGTGAATATAGAGTGAATGGTACACAATTTTACTTGTGTAAGTGCGATCATAAATGGATTTAATCACAATTGACTGATGGTTGAACAGGATGTCTTTATAGAAAGTAATTGTTTTTTCTGGATGGAGAGGAATAAAATGTTATCTAGGAGGGAATAAGATTTAACCAGATCATGAACAGTATGACTCTTTGGGTGACTAGGTTCTTTGAAAAAGAGATTAATAGTGGTGGATTTAACATAATCAGATCGGGTTAATTTAATAGGATTAGGATGGTATGGAGTAACTGCTTGACTAGATGAAGTAAAAGGATCAGTAGCCAAAGCAGATGTATAACTAGGTTTAGGAATGTTACCAAGAATTTGGTAACGGTTAACCAATTCAGTAAGATGGTATTTGGTGACTAACTCCAATGGAGGCGAAACAAAAGGTTGACTAGACGGGACCAAGGCTTTGGAAGGAGGCCGTGGACGAGACATCTGTGAAATAGAGGAGATAAATTAGCATCCACTGAGGATATCTAATTGATTAGTATATTCATGTAAACAGTTAATATAATAAGCAAGTTGTTGTTACTGAGCTTTAATCCGATGAAATTGTATGTACTGGGCTCTTTTAGTAGGTAAATGAGTTGATTTGAGAAAGGCAAGGCGACGAGCAGTATGTTTGACTAAGGTTTTAAAGTGTTTAATTTGGTGTTTATGGTAAGGAATAGAGGGAATTGACATGATGTAACTCATTATCCACCCTGTAAAAATTCTCGGGTAAGAAAATCAGAAATAGAATTTTGACAACCAATGATATATTCAATATCAAAATCAAAAATACTTAATATAGATTGCCAACGAACAAAAATTTGCTTACTAGTTAGATTTTGAACATCTTTTTCTAAAACATATTTAGCAGATTTGCAATCAACACAAAGTAAAAAATTTTGATTAAAAATTTTTAGGGATAAAAATATGTTTATCCCTAAAAAATTTTTTTAATTAATTTTTTTTCAAACCATACATAGCCTAAAAATCTTTTGATAAGTCATTTCTTACGTTGGTTTAAAAATCAAACCATACATAGCCCAAAAAATGAGTTTACGTTAGTTTTTAAACAAAAATTTAAAAATTTTACTAATAAATTTTTTTTTTCAATTAATTTTATTTAAAAAAATAATTAATTAAAAAAAAGTTATTTTTTCAATAAAAGTTATTTTTTTCAAAATTATATAAAAATTATATAGTTGATAATTATTTACTATTATAAATTATTATTATATATATTTAATATTAGTCTCAATTTTATAAAATAAAATTTATATATATTAAAAATTATATATGGATGTGAGTGTGAGAGAGAGAGAGACAGAGAGTGAGAGTGAGTGAGTGAGTGAGAGTGAGTGTGTGTGTGTGAGAGAAAGAAGATGCTGGGTTTGTGTTTTGGTTGAAAACGTGGTTTGTTTTCACATTTTGTTCATATCAGTCACGCTTACTTTGATCAAAAGTAAAAGTGTGGTTTGAAGTCACATTTTTTAAAAAAGAATAAATTTTATTTAAAAGTGTGGTTTCGTGATTTGTAATCACGCTTTTATTATTTTACAAATTTTTCATGAAAGAGATCTAAAAATAGTAAAAATGTGATTTATAATAACACATTATTCTAATTCGAGAATTCCGTCCAAATTATACCTAATTTAAAAAATAACTTGATATTTTAGCTTATAGACTTATTTTGGGAAAAGCCCCCTAATATTACCCTAATATTCTCACTCCAATGGCTGGCTAAAAGGGCTTCCTATTTTTCCTCATCCCTTCTCCGCTGGTGATTGAAGGCTCTCCAAACTCTACAATGAAGTCTCCACCGCGAAATCGATCCTCTGCCTCAGCGCGAAATCGATCTTCTCCTTCAACGTCGTCTGCAACTCCCTCCATCTGACCTCTTCCTCAAGGTATGGATCCTTCTATCTCTTTGTCTTCCCCTTCTATGCAACTCATAAAACCTGTCTCTCTCTCTCTCTCTATCTTCAACTCTTCCCCTCCCATATCTGCAAACCCCTATCTGTGAATACTTTTTTCCCTTTTGATTTTTAGTTCTCCTTCTATGAATCCCATTTTTACCCATCCCTGCGAAAGCCCCTTACCAAACCCGTCTTCGAACCCCCATCCATTCTTGTTCGTCTATTATCTGCATGTTATTTTCTTTGTTTTTCTCATGTATGTATCTGAGATTGGTAGTCTTGTATGCTGCTGCTACAGTTGTTTAGATTCTTGTATGTGAAAGCATTGCTGATTTTAATTGGTTCAAATCTTATTTTTTTTCTACATTCAATTTTCTTAAGATGCCAATTTGATGGGTTTTTGGAAAGATCAAATTGGGTTTGTTTTCCTTTTATCTAGCTTTTTGATTTGCAGGTTATGTTTATGTGTTTTAATTGGGTTTTGAGTAAAATTTCAGGTGGTGTTACCCCGTTTCCTTCAATATAGATGATGTTTAGTTTGGTGGGGAGTGTGTGATAGATAGTTAGACAATTGTTGTCTCTAGTTGAAGAGGCTGTCTTAATTGGTGTGTTTTATTTTCAATGATCAATGTTAGTTTTTGATGTGTCCTTGATAACCATGGAGAACATAGCCAGTCCTATGCAAATCTCAGCATAGTTTTTTGGCCTCCAAATCAGAGAGAGCAATGCCCTAGTAGGGAAGGTTGGACGACACATTGAACTGTTGGAGAATAAGGGCTCAGCCAACACACGAATGTGCAGCCCCAATATAGTTTAAGCATTAACCTGTTCTTGATATTTTTGATAATCACTTCAGCATCCGACTCAATAATTACTTGTCAAAAATTCCATTCGAGGACAGAATGAAAACTGCAATCCTTGATGACTAGGAATAGCAAATATGGAGATCATTAAAATGCAGGGAAACAATATGGACAATGCTTCACTCTCCCTCCCTCTGTATCTACAAAATACGTTTCTCTCTATAAAAATTGTACGCTCCATTTCATTTTTTTTCCCCCATGCTTCATAAGATCTCTTTCAGCATAGATAGCTAAATATATGAGGAACAAATTACAGAGAGACAAAATAGCTAATCAATTGCTAAAATAAAAAATTAAAAAAAAAAATACACTCTTTTCCAAAATTATAGCAAGGCATGAAGAGAGATTTATTGTTATTCATAATTTGCATAAAAAGAAATGTCAAACAGGTAAAGGAAGAAACCAAAAATAGAAAGAAATTCATGATGAGATTTTGATGGCCTTTGCCCAAATTTTAAATATTTTGATTAGAGCTTGTGAATAATCTACCGTGGATGATTGGAAGGTTAAATACTAGTTTTATGCTCCTGAATTCATTTTCATTTTACTTGCTTATGTTTGAGATTTTAAGAGACATTGAATTAGCAGTCATTCATCATGAATTTTGGTGAATTGTGGCTAGCTTTGAGGTATATGGTCAACTAAATTGTGTCATGGGATACTACTTGCAGACTAGTTTGAATAGCTAAGAAACATGCTTCTCTTTTCTGAATTGTCATAAATTGCTGAAATTTTTCATGAAAGCTCACTCTGGTTTAATTTTTAATTTTTTATCTCTTGAATTTTCTACACTTCTTGTGTTGATGTTTGGTTGTTGCATTTATGAAGTGACGCTAATCCATGAAGTATTTTATTCATTTAGATCAGTTGTTTTTCCCCTTGTGAATTGGTACTGCTCTTGTTAAATATCATTAGACAGTTGGTTGCAACTGCCATTGAAACCCTTAAAGTTATTATGAAGGCAGGTATAATATTGCATAACATGATTGTTGAGGAGGATGAGCGAAATGAACAAAATATAGACTATAATTATGATGCAATCGATGAAAGTCTCCCTCCAGCAGTGTCGCACGGAGCGCACACCCAAACTTTATGAATTCGTTCAAAATCATCATCGCATCAGAGATAGACAAACTTATTCTGAACTCCAAGCAGACCTAGTTGAGCATTTGTGGCATCAACATAAAGTTTATTTTTAATAAACTATAATTAAAAATAGTTTATTTATTTTGAAGTTTATTCTTAACTTTGCTATTTATGTTTTTTTTTTCTTATTTTATTCATTGACCTTTGTAAGGTTTTTGATTAGTAAATTTGTGTTCTTTCGGTTCTTAATTTGATAAATTACAATGATTAAAGAACTTCCCTTGTATTGTTATTTTTTTAAAAATTCTTTATTGTTTTCTTTTATTTTTTCCCTCCCTTCCCCTTCCTGATGGTTCCACAAAACTCATATGTTGGTATATATTTACATACTATACATTTTATAAAAAAAAAATTAAATATTTGTTAAAAATTAATTTTTATAATATTTTTAAAACTAATATTAAAAAATATTATTTTTAAAAATATTATCGCAAATATCACATTGACAACCATATTAGCATTTGGTGCGTATGTGGCATTTTATGAAAAATACAGTATATATATAGCATTTTTTATTTTGAAAATTGGTTAAGTTAGTTTGAATGACTAGTTAAAATAAAGAGTATGGTTGAAACACACAATAGCTAAACTAATTAGGTAAAATAAAAAGTGTACTTTTTTTATACTTTAGCTAGTGAAAAATAAAGAGTGTGGTTGGAGTTGCTCTAACAACAGCTATCGTCTTGCTCATCATCGAGATTTAGGGCTTAGCAATCATCGTCTCTCTCATATCTATGTTCATTGAAATCTAGGGTTTGTATCGAAGGATTGACGTTTGTTCTGTAGAGTAAAGGTACGTATATATGTATAAATATATAGATCTATTTTGTTGTTGATTGCTGTGTTTTTTATTGTGTGATGTGTGGTTGTGAATGAAGAGTAAAGAAACATGGCTGATGAGGAACCGAAGCAGCTGAATTATATACCGGAAGTGATATTGAAGAAGAGGAAAAACAATGAAGATTGGGCTATTCGAAGGAAGCAACAGTTGGAGCAGAGGATTAAGAAAAGCAAGGGTGATAATTTCGTTATCAAGAAGCCTGAGCAATTCATTAGGGAGTTCCGAGACAAAGTAATCACTTCAATTTTGCTTCTTTGTAGTAGTTTGTTTTTATTATAGTATCTATGAATTTCGATGATTGTATGAGTTTATTGATTGATTGATTTCTTTAATTGCTTGAATTATCATTGTTTGTGTTTGAAAATGTGAAAATTTTGGATGGTGGAGATTGATTTGGTCTAGCACATAGCATGTTGAACTTTGATTATCAATTTTAATGGGATTTCAAGGCATTAGGTGTAGGTGTAGGTGTTCTGGTGTTAAATTTGTCAAATTCGATTTATTTATTTTTTTTATTTTTTATTTTATTTTAATTTCTAGGAAGATATACATAGGTACATCATTAAAAAACCCTCTCTTTTTTTTCTTCATTTTTTTTAATGAGTTTTGTGCCCTCGGAGTAGGATGTAATGAACTATCTATTAACTTTGAGGGTTGTCCTGAGTGGTTGGTGGGTGTGTTGCTTTCCACACAATTACTCAGGGTTCAATTCTTGGAGTGAGGATGTGAGAAAGTAATTCCTTGTGAATTCCTTAGTCCCAGCATGAAGCTTTGACCGGACCAAGGAGAGGATTAGTCGAGGTTCACGTAAGTTGGCCCAGACACCCTTGACCACTGAACCAAAAATAAAAAATAAAATGAACTGTCTATGTAATACATTGAGCTTGATGTAGGTATTGTGTGAAAGGTTGGCATCGCTCGAGCGCAGAATGCACTCGCCCAGCACTTTTGCAGAACCAGGCCTCCGCTCGAGCTCCCAACCCTACGCTCGAGCGGCCACTCACACAGATCCGCTCGAGCGGCCAACTCCACGCTCGAGCATACAACACTGCACAACAAATACTGGATGGGTGTAACACCCGCTCGGGCGCCAACACCTCCGCTCGAGCGTACAGGCCAAAAATCTGGGCAACTAGTTTTGGTTTCTAAACTCAACCAACCTGAAACAAAATCCGCCCAACACATCCTATAACTCAAATACAAAGTAAGAAAAGATGTAAACAAGATAATGAACAACTACCAACATCCACGGACACATGTCCGGATCACGGTATAACAAGGGTAAACCCGGGATCGCTATAATTGTTGCGGCAATAAAATTTTAGATCTACTGACCCTCATTTAGATCCATCACAATTTTTTTTTTCTACCTTTTCTTTATCTCTCTTTATCTTTATTTTGTTGATAGAAAAATTAAAATTTGTAGAGGTAATTGTCAAATGATTCAAAACATACTTTTCTCTCATTGAAGTCGTGATTCTTCTGCAATTCTACGTCATTATAGGTCTTTATTCCACTATACGAAAATGTCTCACACCCCCTATATTATTTGACATTCCTAAAGCTATCATGAGGTATCAATTTACTCTTCTCCACTGAAACTAGCATAAAGTCTCACTTTACCGCCCCCCTCTAAAACTATCACAAAGTATAATACTACCTAAACTATAAAATGATACAATTAAACCCTTCAATAAATATTAAGGGTTAATTACAAAAAAAAATCCTACAATTTCATGTGTTTTTCAATTTAAACTCCAGAATTTCAATTTCGACAAATTAAATCCTAGAGTTTCATCTGTGTTTCAATCTAGCCCCTCTGTCCATCTCCGTCTTATTAAACTAACTAAAATTTGGGTAGAATTTCATATTCAAACTCACATGTTCAAACACTTGTATCTCTGTCATCATAACTCTGTTTTGCCTCATTTTTTGTGTCGTTGGATTCACCTCATGACATAGTTTTCATTCCACTATGCCTACGTCTTGTTCCACAGCTTTTTACTTGTCGTCGGAGCTCCGAAAGTTGGTCAAAAATAGGATTTTTCTCTCTTTGGGCAAAATTTTCATATTTAAATTCACATATTCAAGCACTTGTATCTCCCTCGTCATAACTCTGTTTCACCTCATTTTTGCGTCGTTAGATTCAACTGATGGCCTAGTTTTTATTTCACCCCTCATATGCCTTGTTTCATCTCTTTCCTCTTCCTATTATCAACCATGTCCTCCCATTCAGAGAAAAGCTAATTTGAAAGTTGAACAATCAAAGAATTCCTCCACAATCTTAATTTTGAGTGAACCATCATATAACAACCTTATCTCTACATATTGGATAAGGTCTGTTAATGTGTTATATCTTCTTCTTGTCACACATTTTCCATTTATGACAATCATAAACAAGAGGGGAAAAAAAATCAATGTAACAATTATACCATGTTATCATTAACACGTGGTATCACTATTCATTTATTAGTTTTTGAACTCTCAATGACATTTCCCAAGAAACGTCAAGTTACTTGCACTCGAGGATTGACATCGACATCCACCTTTAAATGGAAATTTGAGGGCAAGGGGCCAATCCCTTGACTCCTACTGATAAGAATTTTACTTCATGAGAAATTGAACAAAAAAAGGCTGAATCAGCCTATTTCTTGCATGTACAAATCAAATTCTTTTTTGAGAAAGGAACTAAAGATCGAATGGTTTCTTAGAAGGAGAGAAAAAAATGTCAAGAATCCTCTTTTTTCTATAACACAACTACTGATTCTTCAGAACACTAACAGATTAGTGAAGCTTAAAACTATCTTCAATTGACAACTCATTTCCATTTACATTAGATGACAATTTCCATTCAAAAGCTTGTAATTTACTACTCTAACAAAGACTTCATGACTGTCAAAGCATATATTTACTAAAACAACAACGACAAAAGGCAGTTATGTGACAAGGCATTAACATGTTATTACATAGTCATTACACATTTGGAGTCTTGGAAAAAGAAATGAAGAAGAAAATATAAATTATATTTTATTTACATTTCTCTCACTTTTCTCCTTTTCATTTTCAAATCCGGAGCCAAATCCATGATCCAAACACAGCCTTGGGAAACAAAAAAATTTAACACTGGAAAATAAAATCTTGTTACATTTGCAATGAAAATTGATTGTTTTGTATGGCCAATTTTTTCAAATGAACTTTTGGCAATTCAGTTAGGATTTTGGTTTAAATTAAGGTAACTTGTAATTTGTAACTAGAGGTGCAACGTGAGCAGGTGCAGTAAGATTGAAGATTGAGTTATCCAAGTTGTTTTGAGAGTTGCCTGAGGACCCCAAGCCCGACCTTTAACCTAATTTCGTGTGTCCAAGGAAGCCTCGAGCTCAATAAATTGAACTTGGGCTATGCTCCAATTAACAACAAATTTGAGCTGAATTGTTTTTATCATCCACCCTTCAAGGACGACAATTATTTTATCAACCACCTTTCAAACAAGCTAGACCAACATTTAAATATTTATAGCACTAGAGTATTGCCTAGTAATTATTTAGTATTTAAAAAACATAGTGGAGACAACCAAACTTAGGCTCATTTCCACCACTTCAACTTCAAAAAAAAAAAAATTCTCATAAAATTATTTAATGAAGATTCCTAGAACAAAGCCACATGAAAAACATGACAAAATCCAAATCCTAACCATAATGCGACCCCCACAAGTGAAAGAAGGCATTAACGCGTGTCATTCCAGTCATCATCCACCAGAACACAAACTGGGATCCCAAAATTTTGTTTAAAAAATTCTTGCCACAGTTATAAAATTTAAACAGCCTATCACCCCTTTAAATCCAAGTCTATTCTAGCTCTTTTAAACGCTTGAAAGTCTAGAACCTTTCTTTCACCTTTTCAAAGCCAAATCATAAAAGATAACTATATAACCTCAGGCATGTAAATCCTATGGTCTCATGTGTGACATTTACTTCTTCACTGGTCCCTAAACCACACAACCTGCTACCCAAGCTCCCTAATTATTGCCACCAGGGTTTTGGGTTGCAAGATCCCAAAACAATTCTTAAATGTGGAGATTAGTATCTTCATTGGATGTGTGAGCTTGTGGTCAGCCAATAAAACTACACAAATTATTTTATCTCCTTGATGGAGTAACTAATATTTTTAATGATACACATACCAAACTCAAACTTGAATTTGCTAAGCCAATATTTTTACTTATCAAACAACCTGGCATAAACTCAACAACTCGAATTTTTAAAATATCTAATATGATCCTATTCATGACAACACTTACACCAGTAAAATTTCACAAAAAAAAAAAAAAACAAAAAAAAAAAAAAAAAATATGAGTGACCTTTTCAATCAATACTCTCCATATCACCATTTTCATACTACAATTAATCACAAAATTCCCACATCTATAGAACAAGTGCTAGTAAATATCTCCAGTTTGATCCCCTAATCGCCATTGAAGATTGAAAAAAGAAAAGAAAAGAATAGACTACAATAGCAACGAGTAAAAGCACTGCTCAAAGATCAACGTATAACATTATTTTCAATGTGAATTCTCTATCTAGTAGCCAACATTTCTATTACTCAAAATGATTAAGAATGCAACAAGGGGAATGGTTTGAGTTGTAACTTGTAAGATTGCATTTCAGAGTTAAAAACTTGGCAAGGCCTAGTCTTCTGTGACTGAAATCCAATTTAAAAGCAACTACATACAAAAGTGAAAATCTCCAAAAGGTTGCTAAACGATGCAAGAAAAAAAAAAAAAAAGAACGAGTCATGACATGAAACTCTTATTTAACTCAATGCTTTAAGAAAACTAAACAACTTAACAAAGCTTTAGAAATCAATAGAGCAGCAAGCATAAAGCCTTTGAAGTGGTCCTCTATGGCTGTTATCCAGATGCTCACCCACTCAAATGTAGTATCTAGGTGAAACACCCCTTCAAGTGGATACCATTGCTTTATTGTGCTACTTAATGGAACAAACCTAGTTTTGAAATAAGAACATGATTAACTCAAATATAGCATATAAGTAGAAACCATAAAAGATAATTCAACAAAGTAATGTTGCAAAGATAAATTCCAATTATCGGATAATGCCATTTGTCTTTGTTGATTTCTTCTTTCACTACATCAGTGGGCACCCTTCTTAGACCTTTTCACATTCTTATGATGTTTTCCTTCAACAATTTTCTTAAGCCATTCTGGTCTTCGAGTCACAAACATAAGATATCCCATAATCATTCCAAATAAAAATCCGCATCCATACCCCAACATTACAACTTGCCAGTTAAATCCGCTTGACTTGCCTGAATTCTCATCTTGTTGGAGTGTTGGTGGAGGTGGTAGTGACAATAGTTCCTTACATTTATTTGATAAAGGCAATCCACATAAGGCCAAGTTCCCACCATATGAATCACTTCCAAATGTATTAAACTGGCTCCCTTGAGGAATTGGTCCTGCTAGTTGGTTGTCTGAAAGGTTTAGTACCTCAAGAAACGTCAAACTTTTCAATTGCTGAGGAATCTCCCCAACAAATTTGTTTGAGGAAAGATCCAATGATTCAAGGTTTTTCAAATTTCCAAGTGAAGTTGGAATGTGGCCTTCGAGGTTGTTATGGGATAAGTGAAGACCCCGAAGTGAATTAAGCCTCCCAATGGATTTCAGAATAATCTCTCATTGGAATTTATTTCTTGAAAAATCAATGATTGATAAGACTGTTAAGATTCTTCATAATTCAATCTCATATCCTTTAATCATCACCACCACAGAATCTTGATAATAGCTGTCACCCATGTATTTCAATTTCATTTCATGTTCATCGACATTCATCATAGCTCCAAATTGTTTGATATAATTTGTTGGCAAAAGGCCAGTGAACTCATTACAAGATATGTCAATAATTCTCAACTTAGGAAAAGGATGTTTGCCTTTGGTCTTGGAGGTGCCTGTGTGACCATGAAACCTATTAAACCTCAAGACAAGAACCTGTAATTTTGTAAGAGTTTCCAACTAGTAGGGGAATGTATTGTTTATCTTGTTTTTCCCAAGATCTAGAACTTCCAAGTATTCACAATTGAGCAAAGATCGCGAAACTTTTCCTTCAATTTGGTTGCCATTCAAGTTAAGATTCCTTGGCGAATTGCCTTTAGTAAATGTTGCAGTAAAGGTGCCAGAAAAGCTATTTGTCACGCCCTCAGAATTAACCCATTATATATATATCATTGACATGCATTATTTAAAGAAAACACTTTAATAATTCATTATCATATCCATCAGAGTCTTACTAAACAAAGCATTACATGCAACATCAAGTAAATGCCCTACCGGCTTACATCTTTCCAAGCCAACACTTGGACACAAAAGTATGAGTTCTAACTCAAATATAAATAAAGCCCTAGGCTTGAGTGTTTACATGTACTAACAATGAAAAACAAATAACTAAAAATAGTCTTCAAAATCCAAGTCCTTCCAAGCTAAGTCCTTGGAGGTAGCTTATCACCTGAACCTGAAAATGATGTTCCCATAAAGGGTGAGCCACAGCCCAATAGAAATATACTAAACCACATATAAGCAATGAATAAAACAATAGCATTCAACAGATGGTTAACCAAGATAAACAATTACTTCAGTTTATAGTCTCATGACACTATTGTCTAAGACACGTTTTACTTTCCAACTTTATCAACATGGCTCAGAACCTGGCCAAACTTACAACAGTGAATTATATATATCATATTCACATTCTTCCAATGTCAACAAACAAATGAGACTCAAGCTCAAATCAAAAAACTTCATACTTCCAGATTGATACACATTTTAGTGATGTATCAATAAAAACACTTCAAATATAAATAAGCACACATAAAAGTGATGCTAATGGAGTCCATCCCCTATCTCCTCCCAAACAAAATCCAGTTTAGAGGTCCATCCCCTATCTTCCCCTAAACCGTGGAGTACATCCCCTATCTCCTCCCACACAAAACAATGTATGTAAACACATAACATATAACACACAATCAATACACATAATGTCTGTATTAATTCAGCAGTCAAAATGAATGACTCAATCAATGTGATTAGTTTCAATTATCCCTAATCCACATGCAATGTCTACAACAATACGACTATCCTCCCCGATAAGCCCAAAACAGGTTATTTCTAGACTGGAAATAAATATATCAACAATTTAATAGGCGAGTGATTTAGATTATCCAACTACACCATTTAATCAATGAATTCCTCAATTTCATGAATTTACCAAATTCCCTTAAACTAATTATACAAAATTAATTTATTATTACAACTAGGGTTTTTCCCAAAATTATCAAAGTAACCCCAACATATCAATATACCAAAACTTAGAACAAAACCTATAAAATGGAGTAGGAAATCCCTACCTCGAAGAAATAGCCCCAAAAGAGAAGATGGAGATGAAGACCCAAACTCCAAAGTGCTCCAAACTACCAACAATTCAGATTAAAACGAAGCCCTCGACTCGCACACTCTTTTTAATGAAGGATCTAGGGTAGAAACACACCCTAAGTGGATCCAATCTAAGAGAGAAGGTGAGCAGGGTGAGAGAGAAGTCGGACCTTAGGGTTTGGAATCTAAAAAGAGGATGAAAAACTGATTAAAAACCTACTGCTGTCTAATTAAACTGGACAGGCTCGCTCGAGCGACGACTTGGTCGCTCGAGCGACTAGAAACAAGAAATCCTCGCTTGAGCAAAGAAAAGCTCGCTCGAGCCAAGAATGCAATGCTACAGGTCCATACTGGACGCAATCTCTCGCTCGAGCGACCAAACCCCAGCTCGAGCGAAGAACCAAAAACAACAGCTCGCTCGAGCGACCAACGCCTCGCTCGAGCGAAGAACCAAAATTCTGGACAGCAACACTTGGTTTCTAAACCCAACCAACCTGAAACAAACCTACCCACACATCCTATAACTCCAAATAAGAAAATATGGGACAACAACAACAATTATATAATGACAGAATCTACAGAACCTAAGTCCGAATACAATAATCAAATGGGAAAAGACCGGGGTCGCTATACTATTGATCCCTAAATTCAGCACCGAGAGACTGTTGCTCAAGTTTCCCAAACATTATGGAATCAAGCCACTCAAATTGTTATTAGACAGATCAAGAACTTGAAGTGAACTCAGACCGCAAATCAATGGAGGGATTTCCCTACTTCATTTATTGTTTGAGATAGAGAAAACAATTGTGGTGTTAGGTGGAACAGGGAGTGGTTCTTGGAGTAAGTTGGAGTGCAAGTCAATATACTGTAGATTCTACCATGGAAGATGCTCTAAACTTGTAAGGAAATTATGAGAAAGATTTAAATTTTGCAATGAATCATTCCTCACATTGAACAACCATTTTGTTGTTTGCAAGGTCTAGTGAATACAAACTGGCTTGTTCTCTCAAGAAGTTTGGGAATTCGCTCAAGTTGCAAGAAGCTAATCCTATAGTGTGAAAGTTGGTCAAGGTAGAGTTGACACTGTTGTTGATGCTCAAAGAGAGACCATTATATGCGAGATCAAGATAGATCAGATTTTTAACCTTTAGAAGCTTATCTAGATCCACTACACCACTTAAGTCATTTGATGAAAGCAGCAAGTATGTTAGGTTCTGGAGTTCATAAACTAATCCTGGAATTGGTCCCTGTAGCTTATTGTTACTCAATCCTATACCAACCAATGAAGGCAGAGCAAACAACGAAGATGGTATTGTCCCATTGAGTGAGTTATAACGCAAATAGAGAGAAGTTAGTTGGCTCATGTTGCTAAGGGAATCCGGTATTTGACCGTTCAAATTGTTTCCAGAAAGATACAAGCTAGTAAGTTGGCTCATGTTGCCAAGTGAATCCGGTATTTGTCCGTTCAAATTGTTTCCTGAAAGATACAAGTCATTAAGCTTTGCAAGGTTTGAAATTGATGAAGGGATTTGACCGCTGAAACTATTATACCCGAAGTCTAAATTGGTGATTTGTGTAAGGTTCCAAAGAGAAGCTAGAATGGACCCCGAAAGGTTGCAGTTGAAGAGGTACAAACTATTCAAGGCTTTAGGATTGCTGATTGATTCATGCAATTGGCTAGAAAAACTTATGTCGGAGAGAACAAGAAACTGAAGGGAACTAATGACATTGAAGTATGGAAGTTTACCTGTGAGTTCCCAATTAAACTGTAAGTTGAGCTTTTGTAGGTTTGGAAAGTGAAAAATGTTCTCTGAGAATTTCCCACGCAGTTGACAATCAACAAGATTGAGAGATGTCAAAGAAGATAGATTTAGCAAAGCATTAGGTAAAGGTGAAGAGATATTCAACTAATCAAGGTGTAGTTCTCTTAATTGGGTTAGATTTCGAAGCAGCATATTGAAAGTGTGTTGTTCAAGTCTCTTTACATATAAATGATTATTATAAAAATTATAATAATTGAAGTGAGAGAGGTCAAGGGAAACTAATTTGGACAGATGGCAGATTTTTGAAGAAATTCGGCCTGTGAAATTAGAGTAAGAGAGGTTGAGATGGGTCAAACTTGCAAACGAGCCAAAATTAGGTGAAATTCTAGAGAAATTGAAGTCATTGAAGGCAAGATTGAGGGTTTGGAGGTGACGAAGGTAGAAGAGGGTGCTGTTGGGTTGGATGGTGCTCTAAAGGTGGCTGCAATTGAGATCAAGTCCAATCACATGACCATTCGACTAGTCGCATATGACCCTCTCCCACGAGCAGCAATCACTACTCTCATTCTGGAACACCATTTTAGGATGAGAATCAGATTCGCAAAGAAAAGAGGCATTAGCAGTTATGGTAAATGTTATTTTAAATTGGAGAAGTGAAAATCTCTGGTCCTCAAGGCAGGTATGGCGTGCAGAACTAGAAAAAGAAGAATAAGAAGAAGAAGAAGATAAGAGAAATAGTAGAAGAAATTGATGAAGAAACATAAGCCAACTCATTTTGTTTTCTTATAGGTAGGAGGATTCAAAGAGATATGAAAAGGAGAGTATAAGAAGGATAGTAGTTTGTTGATAGAGAAGGAATACTCATTCTTATACACTGTTAAGTCTTTCTATAGTGGTGGTGGTCAAGCACGGCAACTATATAATTTTTTCCATCATCAACCATCCTAACTTCCAAGTTCACAACAGTAAGCCTCTGTCTTTAATTCCAGTGGTCCCAAAGCTATTAGAAATGGTTTTCCATTAACCAATAGGAAATTAGATGGGTAGTCTTCATGTTTTGTTACTTGTGTCATTTTTAGTCTAAGTAATTTCAATTTCGAATTCTTAATTTTAAATTTTGTGTTAATATGGTTTAGTTAATAACACTGATTAGGGTTCTTGAAAGAAAAAATGTTATTGAATTAGTTGAGGTTAACTCATTGAATTGAACAAGTTTATAATTTTTTGCCTATAAAACCATGACACATGCCGCTCATGTGCCAATTTTTTTATCAAAAAGAACTAAAAGTTAAAATTAATTGAATTAAATTGAGACAAAATCACAACTTCAAATTAAAATTGAGTCCATTGAACAAAAGCATAGGTTTAAGATTCATCATTTTTTATTGTCTCAAAGTTTGAAAAATATATTTGTCAGGGTATTATATTAAAAGTGAGTCTTATGAATCACGATTCATTTCATGAAAAAATTGATAATCATATTTATTATCAAAAAATTTACATAGACCAAAATAATATAGAAATCAAAATACAAAGACTAGTGGTCCAAATAATTTGCCCAATATATTTTACGCGTTAAATATAGTGATGCCAAAGCAAGTCTTCAGGGTTGGTCATAAGTGTAGAAAAAATTGGAGTTGCTATTAGAAAGTAAGAGTGAATGGAAAAGTGTTAGAGAAATGGGAGACAAACCAACCTTGGGTTGGTGGGATGAAGGAGAGAAATATTTCCAAGTCATCCAACCAATATAAGGTCAAGCCTCTGGCTCTTGAGAAATTATTAGTTACTCCAGGAGCATCACCTCACCACTGTCAGATGGTGCTCCATTCCAATAAGAGAGTGCCACGCAAGTATAATGTAAGAGAGTATGCCACGTTCACAAACGTTTGACTAGTTCAAACAACGTTAACAGACGTTAACACTCTATTCCAAAAATAAAACTTTAACGCTGAAAGTTGCTTTCTTAGGCAACATTTGGTAACGTTTACGTTTTTGGTTTGTTTACAAAAATTTTATAAACTGGGTTTTGTTTATTTTTAGAAAAACATAAACTACAAACGTGTTTGGTTTAAACAAAATGTTTTAAAATTTTTAAAAACATAAACTAAAAAATATGTTTTTTCAGGCCTAAAATATTTATATTTATTCTTTATTATTTATGACAGTAGGATCATACACATTATAATTGAAAAAAAAAATTATTTAAAAAAAATTATTAGTCAAATTTTTAAATTTTTGTTTAAAAACCAACGTAAACTCATTTTTTGAGTTTACATTTTTTCCTCAAATTTAAAAACTGAAACAACTATTTATAAACCAAAAAAATTGTCAAACAAGTTTTCATGGAAATTTTTAAAATTTTTGTAAATATTAACTGAAAACTGAAAACAAATGGTTACCTTAACTTTTCAAATTCTCTCCCAAAACTTGAAATTTGAATTTTTTTTTTTTTGTATTTAAAGAGAATTTCACTTTCTTCTCCCATTCTCTCTCTACAATTCTTCATCACTTATCACATTCAGTCTTCAACAACAGAACATCACATTCATTAATTTTCAATTAAATCATCCATTGAAAAAAATTTAAAAAAAAAAAAAAAAAAAAAATCAAGATTATCACCCGTATTGCTCTTGTTGTAGCCACTACAGCAACATCATATCTTCTATTCGCCCTTCAACCTCAAGCGAGCCTCAAGGACCACAATTGTTGTTTTGGACATTAACATTGAACATGGCAGAGATTTTGACTTCAAAATTGTACGACAAAGTTCTCTCATCTAGATACCATTGCTTTATTGTGCTACTTAATCGAACAGATCTAGTACTGAAATAAAACATCAGTAACTCAAATATAACATATACATTAGAAACCATAAAAGATAATCCAACAAAGTACTGCTTCAAAGATCAATTACTGACCTAAATGACACCATTTGTTTTTGCGGATTTCTTCTTTCGTTGCATTAGTGGGCACCCTTCTTGGACCTTTTCACCTTCTTATACTGTTTTCCTTCGACAGTTTTCATAAGCCATTCTGGTTTTCAAGTTACGATCATAAGATATCCCATAACCATTCCAAACACAAATCCGCATCCATACCCCATCACTACAACTTTCTAGCTAAATCCGCTTGACCTTTCTGAATCCTCATCTTGGTGGAGCGTTGGCGGATGTGACAGTGGCTGTAGCTCCTTGCATTTCTTTGATAAGGGAAATCCACATAAATCCAAATTCCCATTGTATGAATATTTTCCAAATGTATTAAACTGTCTCCCTTGAGGAATTTGTCCCACTAGTTGGTTATATGAAAGGTTTAGTACCGCAAGAAACATCAAACTTGTCAGTTGCTAAGGAATCTCCCCAACAAGCTGGTTTGAGGAAAGGTCCAATGATTCAAGCTTGCTCAAGTTTCCAAGTGAAGTTGGGATATGGCCTTTAAGGTTGTTATGAGATAAGTTAAGACCCCGGAGTGAATTAAGCCTCCCAATGGATTTCAGAATCTCTCCTATAAATTTGTTGCTTGATAAATCAATGATCGAGATGACTCTTAAGATTCTTGAATATTCAATCTCATGTCCTTTTAAAATCATCACCACATAATCCTTATAATACATATCACCCATGTATTTCAATTTCAATTCATGTTCATCCACGTTCATCATAGCTTCAAATCGTGAGATATAATTGGCTGGCAAAAGGCCAGTAAACTCATTGTAAGATATGTCGATAATCCTCAACTTAGGGAAATGAAGTTTGCTCTTTGTCTTGAAGGTGTCTGTGTGACCATGAAACCTATTAAACCTCAAGACAAGAACCTGTAACTCTAGAAGAGTTCCCAACCAGTAGGGGAGTATACCATTATTCTTGTTTCTTCTAAGATCTAGAACTTCCTAACGTCCACAATTGAGCAAAGATCGCAGAACTTGTCATTTAATCTGGTTATCATTCAAGTTAAGATTCCTCAGCGCGTTGCCTTTCGCAAATATTGCAGTAAAGGTGCCATGAAAGCTATTCATTCGTAAATTCAACACCGAGAGACTATTGTTGAACTTTCCCAAACATTGTGGAATCATACCACTCAAACTGTTATTAGCCAAATCAAGAACTTTAAGCAACCCGACCACAAATCAATGGAGGGATTTCTAAGACATGCATTTGATAAAAAAAATAAATAAATAACAAAAGAAAGATCTAGTTACTCATCACTATTGATCCCTTTTTCACTAAATAAAAGAAGTTCCCAACAAAAAAAAATTGAAATAAGAAAAAACAGAACAAAGAAAAAATGAAAAAGATTCAACAAATGCTTCTCCAAATTAAACTCATGAGTCAAAACTCCATTCCACATCACTTGTGAGTTAAGATTTCACACCTGAACTTAAAAAAAGCCATTTTTTATTTGTTTCTTTTGAGCCAACAGTTTAATAACATCAAAGACAGTTCTACATTATACATTCACATTGCACGGAGAAGGTTTGTGAATGACAATCAGATATAATTAAAATAGCAAATCGAATAAAAATCTACCTCAATATCATCGTGACCAGATGTAACTAGAAGAATTTCCTACGACAGACTATCTTTAATTTTTAAAGCATTTGGTTAAGTGTTCAGTTTTAGAGTAAACGACAACAAAGTTTTAGGATCCAAAACCAGTATTAAAAAAAAAAAAAAAGCCAAATATCAAGGAGAAGATTCATATTAGGTATACGAAAACACACCACCAACCTTGGCCAACTATTATTTTTTCTCTTTAACCCCTCTTTAAAATCAATAACTCTCCTTGGTAGCTTCCTTTGATTTTCTAAAGCAAGGGTTCAAAACTCAAATCTAAAGGTATGCGATAAAACAAAGTACCCAAACACATTTGAGCAAAGATCTAATACCCACAAATCATGAAGGCTTGTAAACATAACCAAAGGTTAGACCAAGCAATTGAAGAGTCTCTATAGGAATTAAAGAGCTTCTTGATTCTAGTGTGGCTATGTGGGGCATTATACCATACCCAAAATTTACATTCCTCTCACAAACACAACAGAAAGTACCATTAAAGGAATTTTGTACATGAAAGAAAGCACTATTAATTCATATTAGATGCATTTGTACATATTATCCAAACTCATTTGATGCCATAACAAGATATCAAACAACTGAAATAGAAAATCAAGATCCAAAGCCAAAAGTGAAACATAGACCATTGTAGACACCCCATTTTTGACCGACCTTAAGACTCAGACGTCACCGATTGAGCGCTTGGTGATGTCGCATATTGTGCTCGTTCTGAGGTTGCGGAGTCTCGGCTGCGAGCCTTGCCTCCGGACTTCCAGACTCTTTTGTACCTTGCATCGGTTTGCGAACCAGGTCCTGTTTTCTTTGTTTTCTCTTCCCGAAGGGAGGGAGAGGTCTCGTAGATCATCTCTTAGTGGCCGTAGGCTACGCTTCGTGGTCGTAGGCCTTTTTTTCCCGTTTGGAGCCCGGTTTCCAGTTTTTCGGAGCCGTCGGCCGTGTGCCTCGGTTCGAGACCGCTTATGTAACGCCCTCAAAAAATAACCCATCATATATCATTGACATGCATTATTTAAAGAAGACAATTTATTAATTCATTCATCAGAGTATTACCAAATAAAGTATTACATGTAATATCGGATAAAACGCCCTACAGGCTTACATCTTTCCAAGCCAACACTTGGATACAAAAATATGAGTTCTAACTCAACATAAGAAAAGCCCTAGGCTTGAATGTTTACATGTACTAATAATTAAAGACAATTAACTAAAGGTAGTCTTCTCCAATCCAGAAGCCAAACCCTCCCAAGCTAAGTCCTTGGAGGTAGTTTATCACCTGAACCTGAAAATGATGTTCCCATAAAGGGTGAGCCACAACCCAATAGAAATATACTAAACCACATATAAGCAATGAATAAAGCAATAGCATTCAACAGATGGTTAACCAA